CAAGGCAAGAAAACATAGGACCTAAGATTTGAAAATGTGAGTCTGAGTCTAGACCCTGCCATGTGCTGGTTGTCTGCTCACTGGGCAGCCCCTTCATTTACCAGAACCTTGCCTTCTGGGTCTGTGTCATGGACATGATTGCCCCTGCACTGCCTGCCTTATGGTATTATGTTAAGGCCCCAGGAAGTTAAGTGTAAAACAGGACTTACCAGGGGGAGGAGGGAGGATCACCATCAGAGTCAGGCCAAGCTGATTCCTGTGAGGTGGAGGTCAGACATGCCTCCAGCCTCAATCTTTTTTTACCAATTCTGACACCAGCCATCCCTCCTGCCATACTTTCTGCTAGGTTCAATAATTTGTTGCAGTGGACACACAGAACTCACAGACAATGCTCATGATTATGGGGCTTATTGTTGTTGTTGTTGTTGTTATGTGCCGTCGAGTCAGCCCTGACTCATAGCGACCCCTCCTTGGGTTTCCGAGGCAGTATCACTACGGAAGTAGGATTGCCCAACCTTCCTTCCGAGGAGTGGCTGGTGGGTTTGAACCGCCAGCCTTCTGGTTAGCAGTCAAGTGCCTTAGCCACTATGCTACCAGAGCTCCCATGGGGCTTATTAGGGAAATGTAACAGGTTACAGTTCAAGATCAGAAATGACTCGGGACACAGTTCTTCAATCAAGACAGTCTCTTCTCAGCATGCCATGAGCAGGCTTCTGTCTTGTTACGGAGTTCTTTTAGCTCTGTGGATTAAGTGCCCAGAGGTACCCACTCTGCCAGCATGTCTCCTGCCCGAAGGCACTCAGCTTTCATCCTCCACGGGCCAGCAAGTCCACCATGCCATCTCCTGCCAGTCTCTTGGTTCTGCTGCCTTTGCTGCCACCGTTTGTCTGCCACCACTTCTCGCCGTCTCTCCAGTGTTAACAGTGCTCTCTCTCTCTCTCTCTGACTCCTGGGTCTAGGAGGCTCCTAGCACAGGGAATCCAGGTCCAAAGGGCATGCTCTGCTCCCTTCTCTTCTTGGTGGTAAGGAGATCGCCCTTGCCCCTTTCCTCTCTCTTATCTCTTGTAAGATAAAAGGTGTCACTCTAGCAAGGGTGTGACTTCAGTAAGGTGATGAAAGGTGGTGACTCCAGTCTTGTGTCATTAACATAATAGACAACTTGCTAGGATTTACAACACATTACAAAATGGAGGACCATGGCTAGAAGGGCCATAGTAAGTAATTCACTGCACCACATCAAGCATGAAAAAATGCTGTCTCAATTCTGTGATGCTGAATAACTGATCTTCATGAAAGATTGTATTTATTGTTTCACCACTGATTACCTTATACAAGAAGTAGCTTTGTCACCTTGGGCAAGATATTTGATTTCTCTGTGACTCAGTTTTCTCATCTGTAAAGTGGAATGACCGCAAACACTTGTTGGGGGAATGAAACAAGGTCCTGGCGTATACAATATGCTCAGTAAATATTACCTTATTACTCTGAGGTTTTGTCATATATTAACTTACTGACTTCCCAAGAGTTGAAGACCCTGATCTCCCACTAAGCTGGTAACATAGGGTTACCGTTATCCTGTTTAATCGTTACAACAGATATACTAATGTGAATTAAGGCTATAGAGGCTTAATGGTTAAAAATAAAAGTAGGATAAATGCTGACAAACAGGAACATTTTAAAATTCTTTACCCATCTGCACCTCCAGGGACTTGTATCTTAAAGGCAGAAGTGTGAGTGCTGGTGTGGCTACATAAAGATTTCTCTTACTGCACCCTTTACTCTTGGAGGGTGATTCTTACATAAGAAATCACTGTGCAGGAAATGTATTTAAAATGATGTCCTGTGTGCTCTAAGGGTTGTTTAGGGGCATCTGAGGCTAGTTTGGAGTATATACAACATTCATCAAATACTGGCTTTTGAGACCTGACCTGATAACCAGTCACCTTCATCTAGCTTATCCATATGGGACATTTTGAGTTATTTTCCAACAGTGATGTACTAGAGCCAGCTCACACTGGTGAGAGCTGACCGATAACAGTTTTAGGAAGTTTGCAAGCCAGTTGGTAATCACACTGGTAGTTTGAAGTCAGACATGGTGGGAGTATTTACGCCATAGAAATGGGCAGACACTTCATATCAGAACTTTTTCTCCTACAGAGTCGGTTGTTAAACATTTACTAGCCCACCACTGTTTTCAGGACACATGGGCACAGGAAATGTGGCCTAAGTAGGAACTCTTTAGTCTATGTGTCTGTCTGTCCATCTCTCTGTCTGCCTGAGATATAGCCAGGAAAAGTGACCTACCTAAATATTTGATCAGTTACAGTCTGGACTGGGAATGTAACCTAGGACTCCAGCCATTCCCAGTCTAGATCTCATTATGTAGAGAGCTCATTTTAAAGTGTGAATTACAAAGTTAAAATTTATTCAGAACACAGTTACAGAGAATGTTGACACATTGTGATAAATGTAGCTAATGTCACTGAGCAATATCTGTGGAAATTGTTAAAGGGAAACTGCTAAAGGGACGGGGCGGCATGCTCTGACCTCTAGCCTCATGGCGGGGAGACAGAATCACCTTCGGCAGCCTGTGGCTTAAATAATTCCTATGAGGCCAGACATGCCGCCACCCTCCAACCTTTTTACCAACTCTGACACCAACCATCCCTCACTACTTCTCTGCCGGGTTTAGTAATTCATTGCAATGGCCACAAAGAATTCTCAGACAATGCTCATGATTATAGGGTTTATTGGGGAAGCAGTAGGTTACAGTTCACGTTCAGGAAAGCTCAGGATCCAATTCTTCGATCAGGATGGCCTCCCCTCAGCTATGCACAGAGGCACGCCTCTCTTTGGCCCAGGGCCTCTTGGCCTGGCCTCTGCCCTGCTTGGGCAAGTGTGACAAAACTCTTTTACTTCTGCTGATAGGTGCACCCCACTCTGCCAGCAAGCCTCCTGCCCAAAGGCACTCCAGCTTTCTCGTTCCATGAGCCGGCAAGCCTGCCACTCTGTCTCTTGCCATCTCTGCTGCTGCGGTCTCTCTGCTGACTCCGCCATCTCAGAGGAGGGATCTTGAGCCCAAGGAAGTGCTCTACTCTTGGCTCTTCCCTGTCGTGGTGGTAGTGAGATTCCCCCCCTTTTCTGCCCCTGGGCAGGCTCATTTTAAGCCTAGTGATGACAAAACTGCCTAGTCACCACCTTAGGGTTCCTTATTTGCATGGTCCCACCCCCACAAAGGCAACATGTACCTTATTTACATTACTAATAAGCTGTCCGGTCCCCTGGGTGGACCACAAGCCCCTGTGTTTGCATAGTTCCACCCAGTAATCTGGTGGGAGTCACAAAGACCATGACTGGAAGAACCAGACCAAGTAATTCACTGCACTATTTGTTGTTGTTGTTATGTGCCGTCAAGTCTCAAGTCGGACCCAACTCACAGCGACCCCTCCTTGGGTTTCCGAGGCAGTATCACCACAGATGTAGATTGCCCAACCTTCCTTCTGAGGAGTGGCTGGTGGGTTTGAAGCGCCAGCCTTCTGGTGAGCAGTCAAGTGCCTTAGGCACTATGCTACCAGAGCTTCCTCACTGCACCATAGGAAGCTAACTTGCTATGTAACCCTTCACCAAAAACTCAATAAAATATTATTAGAAAAAGAAAAAAGTAATTCAAGCTTTTCTTTTCAAGCTAGGTACCAATCGTTCTCCAATTATAGCAACAATTTTATAGAACTTCTTGTTTTTTTTACCTAAATGCCTTTTCCTTTTGTTCTTGCTCCATTATCTTGATCCTGGAGTCTTGTATCTTTTTCTGGCCTGATTATTGTGTTGTTGTTAGGTGCCATCAAGTCTGCTCCGACTCACGGTGGCCCCGTGTACAGCAGAAGGGAACACCATCTTGTTCTCTGCCCGACAGTAGTCGCTCTGCTTGAGCCCATTGTTGCCGTCACTGTGATAATCCATCCAGCTGAGGCTTCCTCTTTCGTGGGCCCTCTAGAGCGATGCTGATTGGTTTATGAGACAGCTGAGAAAACGAGTTCATTCCATCTGGGTTAAACAAATCAAACCCACTGTCATCAAGCCGATTTTGACTCATAGCAACCCAATACGGCAGTGTAGAACTGCCCTACAGGGTTTCCAACGCTATGAATCTTTATGAAAACAGACTGCTTCATCTTTCTCCAATGGAGTGGCTGGTGGGTTCGAACCACTGACCTTTTTGTTTTCAGCCAAGTGTTTCAGCCACTGTGCCACCAGAGCTCCTTTTTCCATATTGGGGTTACTCTCATTATAATTCTTATGGCTTCCCGGGAGGTGTAGACCATCTAAGAAGAGTTAGTACTCTTAGGTTTATTTGCCTTAGAGAGGAAAATAATCAGCTTTAATAATAATTTTAGGAAGCACCTGTTTTCAGGAGACAGATGTCCGTGGGCACTTTCTTGTAGCCCCTGTCCTCCTGGTGTCGTGGTGGTGATTTTACTCCTGTTGTATTTCCTGGTTTAAAAACCTGGCAGCTCTGAGAGGTATAGTAATCCAATCCAGGTCACACTAGCCTGCAGTAGAATGTAGAATACGGACTCTGGGAAACAATACACAGAGCTGCCTCTGAGAGTATTTCGTCTGTTCAGGATGATTTAAAGAATTTGTTTCTCAAAATTGCAAAAGTACATTAATCTCAAGTGACCGTGGCTGATTTTCTGTGTCATGTGTTGCAACTGTGAAGGAATGCTGCCTGCCTGGAGCCTCACCTCCTTACAGCAGAGCCTTGTAACCAATTACCCTTCAAAACCTGGTATCTGGAAGACTTATCAGGGCTTTGGCCTTGAAAGGAATGTCTTCTTCTTAATGTTTGTTAAACAACTGTGTGAAGGCGTGGAATCTCTGTGTGCTTGTTGGCAGGCAAAACACTCCCTCTAGTTCTTCCCAGCCTTCAGTCCACAGAGGTTTGTTGGCAGAGGGGTTGTATTGTGCTCATTTCATAGGTACATATAAATATTTTACAGGGAATGAAAAAGAGTCGCGTCGATGCAAAAAAACTTGGTCCACTGAAGTTGGCCGCTCTCAATGGACTCTCTCTGTCTCGATTACCTTTACCTGATGAAGGAAAGGAAGTGGTTACCAGAGCAACCAATGATGAGAGGGTATGTATGCAGCAGTGGACATTAGGTCTGCCTGGGGACTGTCAGCAACATACTGGTAGTTCTAGTAGGGTTTCTAATATGTTTAATAATTATAATGAATGTTAAGGACTTTTATAATCTGGGCTTCAGAATTGGAGTAAATTTATAGCCAATGTCTTAATCAATCATTTCAGGCTGGAATGTTGATTAATTTTGTTTGTTTGTCAATGGTGTTTACCTTCTTCCAGCTATTTGTGGCAGTCTTGATTTATTGATGGTTTTAAAGTTTGAAGAAACCTACAAGTGCATATGAGTATTCATGGGAAAGAAAACAGACACTGTTTTCATTATGCAGAAAATCTGTCCCAAGAGTAAACAGTTACTAAATTTTTCACAACTTCCTTTAAGATTGAGATGTATTTTCTAAGAGATCTTATTACGTTGGAGACAGGCAAGCATGAATTATGCTGAACAAAAATGAATTTGCTTGCTCACATTTGGATCTTGGAAGTGGTTTCCAATATTTACTACTGTTTTCAGTTTTTTATAGATCATGAAACATAACATGAAGAATTTATTCAGAGAGGTTGGAGGTGGTTAGCCTACTCTAGAGTTGCTGTTCTCCAGGCAAACTGTTTCTTAAGGATATCGTGATTCACTGGAGACTTAGAGAAAATGAATCCAACGAATTGCTCTGGGCCAATTTTCAGCTGGAAAATTCCAGTAGAATTTTAAATGATGTTTCTCATCAGTAAGATTATTTCTTTTGTTCTTTTTAACTCTACTTGTTAAAATTTCAAGTTTTAGTTTTGGTTTCACCCAGAACTTGCCACATTAGACTAATATGAAACTTGAAGCAGAAAATAAGATTTCAGATGTAACGTCAAATGTGGCTGGAATGTGTGGGAACTATACTCACATTATTCCACATGTTCTATATTTCAGTGTAAAATTTTGGAACAGCGGTTAGAACAGGGAATGGTATTCACAGAATATGAAAGAATTCTTAAAAAACGGCTAGTGGATGGGGAATGCTCAACGGCACGGCTCCCTGAAAATGCGGAAAGAAACCGATTCCAAGATGTCCTTCCATACGACGATGCCAGAGTGGAGCTGGTCCCAACTAAAGAAAACAATACTGGTTACATCAATGCGTCACATATTAAGGTGAGAGGAATGTTTAGAGCAAAAGGCACATGCAGTTTTGAGCTAAGTTACAAGGATGGTAACAGTTACATTCATGTCTGGTTCTAAACACAGCTCAGTTTCGAACTGTTGTGAAAAAGTCTGTGTTTGAGCTGGGAAATCCTTGCTCCAGTGCCAGATAAGAAGGGCTCGCCCAACAGGACTGGAGCCGTAGCCCCCTGTCCACATGATGCCTGCTTCATTCCCGGGTGCAGGGGCCACTTACTCGCCTGGGTTTTGACGCTGCCTTTCTGCAGCTGGAGGCCTCTGTGCTGCCTTGTGGTGTCTCTGGTGAGCAGCCCAGTTGCTGGTTTTTCCCACATCACAGCCCTCCCTTCATTTACACACAAAGCATTTGGGGCTTTGATGGTGTTCATCAAAGCTGTTATTTCTGAAGGTGCCGTGTGTTCTCTTGGCATCTTACCTGTAGTCATTCTTCAAAACATCATTTTGTTTTCAGAAGAAGCGGTTCTTTCCTAGAAATAGTCAATGCTGGTTAACTGGGGTAAAGTCACAGCCGTGGACGGAGAACGTGCAGATTCGCAGCAGGTGGCCGAGTACGGCCAGGTGCCACCTCCTGTCCACCAGCCTGCTCTCTGCTCATGCAGCCTGGGGACGTGACTCTTTTGACACGTGAGAATTTTAAAAGCCTGTGACTGGCCGCATTCTTTGATGGTCTTTGGGATGCTGGGCTCATACTGTTTTGTTTTTTAATATAGAAAGAATTTGTTTAAAAACTGAGCTTTTTCTTTTAAGTCAGTCCTCCCTGTGTCTCATGACGGAATGGTAATAGGTACTTCTACAATGATGTTTCCGCATCTTCTGGGGCGACCAGAAGAACAGCAGGAAGGGCGTGAGCTTCAGAACTGGGTAGGCGGGGCCTGCCTCCTGGTTCCACCACTAACAGCTGTGCCACCTCCCTTTACTTACCTCTAGATCCTGATGATGCCTCTCCTCCCGGCTGCCCTTTAGACATTCCCTTCCTAGTTCCTGTCCGTGCTGTAACTGGTGCCCATCGTGGTGCCTGCCACTACGTGGTGCTCTTTGAGTGGGTGCAGAGGCTTGATTGGGGCGAGGGGGAGGGCAAAGGCCTGGTTTAACGTGTAGTGGGCACTCAGCAAGCAGTCCCCGAGACTGAACTTACCCCCATGACTCAACTTTTAGCTAAACAGTGGACGGGCCTGTGAGATGAACAGTAACACCTGGGAAGTGCGTACCCCTTAGAGCAATCAACTTTACAAGATGAAAACTTCAGCATTTGCAAGGCATAAAGCTTGGAAGGCAGGAAGGGATAGGAAAGAGGGATAACTGGAAGTAGTAATCAGAGGGAAGAAATGGGAAGAGCGCTGTTACATTGTGGGGATGGCAGGCAGTGTCACAAAACAAAATGTGTATGAACTGTTGAATGAAAACCCAATTTTCTCTGTAAACTTTTATCACATAAAAGGTTTTCTAAAAAATTATTAATGACTCAAGTGAGAAAGAAGAAAACAGTTCCTATAGTTACTTCATAATGGTGGAGCCCAGATTGAACCCAGGTCCCCTGGCTGTAAATCCGACTGTTGTCAAGGATGCGCACTCCCAGGTCGCAGACTTAGTGTGGAGGGGGACCTTGACTCCAGAGGGTCACAGGTGAGACTACCTGAAGCCGGAAGACTTTCTCCACCCCCTGCCCCACCCCCCAGGAACTGGCTGTGTAACTTAGACTTTGGCTTAGTTGTTAATACTTTTTTTCTATCGTGTTTAATATTTCGGGAGGAGAAATCATGTTGGAAGTTTGAGGTATTGCCATGTTGGTATTTGTAAACCACCACCATAGCAACAGCTGTAGCAACTATTTATTGAATTCTTACTACAGGCAAGCCACTTAATCCATTACTGACATCTTTATAAACTTAGGTACTATGAATTCATATACTGCCTCTGTGACCTCTCTGAATCAGTTCACTTGTTTTGGTAGTACTCACTCAGAGGTAGCCTCTCAGAGGTCGGCCCGATGGTCGGCTTCGGAAAGGCCGGAGTCGTGAACACCCTCTGGAGCCATCCCATCCACACACGTGGGTCTCCGAGAAGAGGAACTGACGCGATGGTGACAAACAGCTGCGTGTCTCTGTCTGTACGTCTCGTACCTTTTCTCATTTCAGGTCTCTGTCAGTGGAATCGAGTGGGACTACATTGCCACGCAGGGGCCCCTACAGAACACGTGTCAGGATTTTTGGCAGATGGTGTGGGAGCAGGGAGTTGCCATCATAGCAATGGTGACAGCAGAGGAGGTGAGCCTGCTCTCCGAATGGTGTAGAGTCCAGACCTTTCTTTACGGAAAAGGCAGGGTAGCATGGCATCTCTAGATTTCAGAAGTGCTGTCTGTGTGTCCTTGTCTTTCAAAGGAGGGTGGAAGAGAGAAGAGCTTCAGGTACTGGCCACGGCTTGGTTCCAGGCACAACACCGTCACCTATGGGAGGTTTAAGATCACCACCCGGTTCCGCACAGACTCTGGCTGCTATGCCACCACGGGCTTGAAGATGAAGCACCTTCTCACGGGGCAGGAGAGGACAGTGTGGCATCTCCAGTACACAGACTGGCCTGAGCATGGCTGTCCCGAGGACCTCAAGGGATTTTTATGTAAGTATCCTAGTTCCCAAGACAGTGCCTCTGGAGGCAGTAAATTGGGCAGAGAGGAGGCCTTAGCTTTCTGAAATTATTTCCTTCAGGTTGTCTGGCATAAGCTTTGGGCTTATTTTAAAGGAGAGACCAACATAAGAGCGCTAATGTAAGACTTTTTCAGAAGTGTAGTTTGGTAGTACATCGAGTGCTGTGTAAGTGACTCTGGCTGAGCCTGGACTCCGTTCCATTTTGTAGATGAGAAGGTGGCAGTCCAGTCTGTCAGTGACGTGCCCAAGATCACTCACTGTCACCTAGTGACTGGGGGCGACTAAGTGGCACCTGAGCTCTTTATCTGATATCTTCTCAGTCAGTGGAGGGGATCTGAAAATTGAGTTGTCGTTTTGATAATTCCTAATCCCCTGTGTTTTCTGTTTTATTGACTGCACAGCATACCTTGAAGAGATCCAGTCTGTCCGACGCCATACAAATAGTACAGGTGAACCCAAAAGCCCCAGCCCTCCGTTACTGGTCCACTGCAGTGCTGGAGTAGGGAGGACTGGTGTCGTCATTTTGGCCGAGATAATGATTGCCTGCCTGGAACACAATGAGGTGATTATTTTTTACGTTAAGACTCGCTTTTTTGGTGGCAGCAGAAGTGGAATGGAGACATGCTGGGAAGGAGGGGGATGTAGCAACCTAATTGTTATTTTTGAACCAATTTCCTTGGACTTGGCGGCCTCAAGTGTCATTCCTTGTTACCTGACCAAAAAGCTAACAGGACCTGTTAGCATACTTGGAGCTCTGGGGGCATAGTGGCTTCAGCTTCTAATCAAAAGGCTGGCAGTTCAAACCCAGCAGTCACTCTGTGGGGAAAAGATGAGGTAGGCAGTCTGCTTCTGTAATGATTTACAGCCTTGGAAACCCTGTGGGGGAGCTCCACTCTGTTCTGTAGGGTCACTAGGAGCCAGAATCAGCTGGATGGCAGTGGGTATTAGCACGTAAAAGAAGTGGACATTTCCACAAAGACTAGACTGTAATTTGAGAAGTCGGACTGTGGAAGTTGTTAAGTACCTAGGAGCCCTGCTGGTGCAAATGGTTAAGTGCTCCGCCTTGACCAAAAGGCTGGTGGTTCAAACCCACCCAGCAGCTCTGTGGGAGAGAGACCTGGCAAGCTGCTGCCAGGAAGAGTGCAGCCCAGCAAGCCGTTGGGGGCAGGTCTGCTCCGGCCCAAGGGGTCACCGTGAGTACAAGTAAAGCTGTTCAGTGTCGCTTTACCTAGTGTTTTTCAAATTTGACCTCGGAACCTTTGTTCCCGGAACAGCTCATCCCACTTCACGGGTCCTAGCGCTGGGCACAGCCCTCGCGGGGACTGCTGAGCGAGGTACCAACGGCACTTAGCATGCTGCATTTCTGCGGGATTTGGGTATTTGGTGGGATGTGGTTATTATGTCCAACAAGACAAAGTCGGTGAGCTGTCCGCAGGGCGTGGTGAAGAACTAACCCGCAGGGAGAGTTTAATTGTAGTTAGAACTGGTCAGAATGGGCTGTGGGGTTTTTATTGTAGGGGATGCTGAGGGCGTTCCAGCCTGTCCACCTCCTAACAGAATTCTGCTGGAGCCAGCGCCTCTAGCTCCCTGAGCGCCCCCCGCCCCCCGGAAGGGCGTAGCCTTCATTGCCTTTCTCACCGTCTAGGTGCTGGACATGCCCAGAGTGCTGGACAGGCTGCGGGGGCAGAGGATGATGATGGTGCAGACCCTCTGCCAGTACACGTTTGTGTACAGAGTCCTCATTCAGTTCCTGAAGAGCTCCAGGCTCATCTGAGCTCCTGCAGCTGCCGTCAGGGGACCCGACCACTGCAGCGTTTACAGCTCCAGAAAGGAGAAGTGCCTGCCTGACCCGTACTGCCTCCTCAGCGGTTGATTCACGCACAGAGCGTGCATGGACACGGACGGTGCAGTATGAGCGGCAGGGCACAAGGGGACTATGCAACGCACCAGGCGGAGGGGGAGCCGGAAGCCGGGAACGGTGCTGCCGCCGGGCCCGGGGCGCCCCCTGCTGGCGCTGGCAGGTTTGCAGGACTTGCACAGGCCGTGGAGGCTGTTCCTTCTGGACAGTTCTCTGTTTTCCTGAAGCTATGCTGGGCGATTCTGGCAATCATTAAAGTGTGTAGATTTCTAAAGGTAGTTTTTGATAATGAAGTTTATTTTATGACTGAAATATTGAGGGTTTTCTTAAGCAGGAGACAAAACTTTTCCATGAGAATAACCCACAGGTCTCACTGGTTCCTGTATAACTTTGTATTTAAAGCCATGCTACTATCTTTGTTATTTTAAAAACACCGCGGGTACTTAAGGTTTAGTCATCAAACCCAAAAGTATAAAGAGAATCCCAAAGGTATTATTTTAAAACTTAAAAAGCATTTTTTATATTCAGAAAATTTTTTATCCTAAAAATTCTATATATTTTTAACTTGTATATTTTTCAGGCAAGAGCTCAGTTCACTAAGCCACTGAATTAAGTCAGTTGAACATAAAAGGAAAAGTTGGGAATGAAGGCACACTACTTAAAATGTAAGAGGATAATCAGATTCACTGTTGTTTCAGTATTATTCATAAATGTAAATGAGTTTGATTTGATTGGTTGAACATGAAGTGAAAAACAATTGCATATGTTGGTTTTAAGCACTTTTTTCCCCAAAGGAATAAATCTGAGCTTTTATATATGTGTTGTTTTATAGAAGAACAGTATCAGTAATAACAACGGGCTTGTTTCAGGAGTGCGTGGGCGAGGTGAGGCTTCAGAGCACGTAGGACGACTGGGCTGAGAGCAGGTGTGGAGTGAGGGCGAAGTCGGGTGCCGTAGGTCCTTACAGACGTGCAGTGTTACCCACTCAGACTGGGACGCTGGGACCGTGGGGGGGCTTTGGGCCTGGAGCCTGAGCTCCAGAGTTTTCCCTGGGGAATCCAGGGCCTGGCACCCTTGGGGACTCTGTTTCCTTGGGATTCTTTGGCCTAAACCTTTATTCTTTTTTCTACAAATAAAAGGTTTATATTATCATTATGAGAAACCTTGAAGGGGCTTTATTTTCTTTGGGTTGAAAGAAGGGAATCCTCAGTAACGGTTTTATCTTCTCACTCAAAGCCACAGCCCAGACTTGTCGGGATGTCAGACACTGCCGTGGTATTCCAGAGGTAAGGGCATTGCGGCTCCTTAATCCCGTCAGTGCACCCAAAGGGCAGTTTTAGCTCTTTTGTCCCCCAGCGCTGCCCCCCTCAACTATTCAGGACAGAGCCAGGTTGAACTGGAGGAAGGGGGTGTGGCCCTTGGCCCGGGCTACGATGACCTGTCACGGTTGGAGTGGGGCGGAGGAGGACTGATCGGTACACTTGGCCCAGCGCCATCTGTTCCTGTGCTTCAGAGGCCGCCGCTTGGCGGTGCAGACCCAGAATGCTCTGGGGCAGTTTCCCCCAATTACGCTATCGTAGGCATGGTCTGCTTCCGGTGCGGACTCCTGCAGCAGGTTAGTTCACGGGGCCACCGAGTGTGCTGTTCGTCACGGGACAGTGCTCCTGCGCTCTGCGTGGGGCAGCCTGTCTCTGCGTTACCCAGGCACCAGCCACCTCAGAGGAAAGTTCAGAACACTCCTGCCAGTGGAGTGGGAGAGTGGGCACGCTTTAGGAACAAATGGTCACATGTAAATGTGGGTTTTTTCAAAGTCTCGTTTAAGCAGAATGGATGTGACTGGCAATATTCACAGTGAGCTCCCCAGAGGAACGGACTAAGAGAGTTTAGGTATCGTTTCCACCTTCATGTTGTAGGAACGTGGCTAATGCTTTCCTCCCTCCAATGGTATGTTGTGAAAAAAAAATGTATTTCTGTCAGGTTTCAACATTTTGATGTGCCCCATTGACAAAAACATACTGTAAAATGAAAATCTGATTAAAGAGTAATAGATGGTATATTTGTGTTCCTATTGTACTAATTTGATTCTGAGTAAGTTACTTACGAAGGGAAAGTTACACTGTTTAAATCTGTTACTCATAAAATGTTGCATGTTTGACCTAGCATCTAAGAGCCATGTAATTTTTTGTCCCTTCTGAATTTTAAACGTTTAATTCCATTTAGTGAGTATGAAAATATTCCTCAATAAAAGTCAATCTACCTTACTACACTTTGAAGTAATGTGATTTTCAAGAGCAAGCATAGAACAGTGAGGTTTTGTGCGTCATGGGCTGACCGTGTCCAAACTGAGGCTGTGGCTGTCCACCACGCTTACACGACGCTTCCTTTAGTGCCTTTAGTTCCGTGGCATTACCAATTTTATATGAAAATTTCCAAAATGGACATTTTCACAACAATTAGATCATAAACTGTGTTTTCCGCTGATTGGTTTTGATCCTTCTCTGGCATCGTCGTTTTCCTCATTAGTGGGGGCTTTTGATGACATAACTCTAGTTGCTAGTTTTGAGCAGATAAAATGCTGACTTTAGGCTATTACTCGGAATATTGATTGCAGTCATTATTATTATTTTCTTTTGGAGCATCTACTGTGAAGCATTCAGAAAAACCTTAGAATTTAGCCCTCTTGAAACCTTTTGGCAAGATTCAAACAAGCTGGCCCTGTTTGTTTCCAAACTTCCGGAAAGAGCCAGGTGTAGCCAGAAGCGCAGGAGCGAGCTGTGGAGCAGGGACTGAGTCAGGGGAGAGCCTGGTGCCGCCACTTGCTCTCTGAAGCTCTCATCCAACTCCTAGTTTACTTTCCGGAGCATTCGCATCCCACCAAGGAGATTGCATGAAGCACAAACTGAAAATACCTTTTCCAGTTTAAAGTTTAATAGCAAAGGACTGAATTGGAGGAGGCTTTCTTGAGCTGAGGGATCGACATTTCCAAAATGGAGGTGCAGGTACATTGGGAATTTGCTGTGGAAACATTTCTCAGAAGAACACACGTTTTTCAAATTCACAGAGCTAAGGCTGTTTAAGTCCCTGTACCACTACTTGTAGGGAAATGAGAAATCAGAATGGTTGCTTAAATTTTGTATGTGGTGAGGGTGGGTGGACACAGAGGATTTTAGAACACATGGGAAGGGGGTCCTTGCATTATTAAAGTGGCATAATTTTAGATACAGGCAGTCCCTGGGTTACAAAGGTCAGACAACAACTCCTCCTGGCCCCTTGATGCTATGTAAATTTGCCCTCACTTTGACAGGGTTGAGCCAGCCCCTACTCATCATGACCCCTCTTTATCATAATCACCTTCACTTGCTGAACTACAGCTTCTAAATCATTGCAAAGGCTTTAAGCCTTTTTGCAATAAAGTAAGGTTAAATAAGAATCATGTGCACCTGTTCTGACTTACCTACAAATTGGACTTAAAGACACACTTAGGAACAGCTTCGTAACCTGGGGACTGCCTGGGCAGGTTACAACTAACAATTATGCTTTAAAGGTTCAGTAGTAAGTTGAATTTTTGAGATATAGTCATGTTTCCCCAGCAAAACAGTGCTCTAAATGGGTGTTAAATTTCTTGGCGTGTTCCCTACAGCATATTTAAATGTAGGGGATCTGAAATGTCAACAGTGGTCAGAACCAAGTTGCCAGAGCCTATGCCAAAAACAAAAAACACCACACACCTTTTCTCCCTACTGCCCCCTGGTGTTGACGTCAGGGAACGAATTCTTCCTGCATCTGCCAGGCAGAGGGCAAAGGCTTGGCAAACATTTGAAGTCAGATTCGGCAGCGTTCATGGGAAAACTCCACATAAATGACTCTCCCCGCAACTGTTACAGAAGCTTGAGTGGAGCATGTGGGGTAAGGGACAGGATGGGGGCAGGAGGTGAAGAGGGATGCTGCTGCCTGTGGGAGGTGGGGATGGGGAGTGGCCAGAATTCCTCCCCTGGGTTGTCACTCACTTGAAATGGTAAGTAGAGGATGGGCAAGAAGGAAGTTCAAGGTCTGCAGCACCCAGCTGAGGGGCAGCAGTTGGAAGACAGATATTCCTAGGTAAAAGGTGTCTAATCACATACATGTGAATTAAGGCCTGCGTGCATGACGTGTATCCAGAGATGTTAAATTATCCATGTATGCTTGTGAGATTGATTTTCAAAAATTTAAAGTAAAAAATTTTCCAGTATTTTGATGGGTGAAGAAAGAGGTAGTAACCACGTATTTTATATTATGTTTTAATATTATAAATAAGTACAAGAAAGAAAGAATTGTCTCTGAACTTCTAACTTGTAGAACTGCTCTTTGATCCACATTCTGAATATTACTTATTTCAATGTTTTGATCATTACTACTTATGTTAAATGCCTGTCTTGTGTCATATAAAAGTTTAACAATCCATAAACCCTTTGGCTTTGAATATACAGATTGGTTTCCTAGCATGGGCTGTAATAGTGCATAAGTAGTTCTATTCTAGTGTAATACATTTGCCATCTTAGCTGACTGGTAGGTGGTTTTTAAACTGTGCATCAAAGATGATTTTTATTTCCATTGTCAAATGTGTACACTACTGAAACGTAAATTTAAAACTTCTGCTTTAAAAACTTGGTGGAACAAAACATTTCCAGTATTCATACAGAGGAGCAGGTCTAAACAGCCAAAGAAATGCAGACGGTTGGGAAATTATCTGGTTAACCAGAACATGAACCTATCCAGCTTCCAGTGTTTGGGTAGGTCGCTGAGTCTAGTACAGGTTTAATGATAACTGGCTTTCTATTTCCCTCTGATCCTTCATCAGCAGAGAAAAACTGAACAAACGAATGAGGAACTGAGTGTGGTCCCTGGTGGTTCCTAGGACAGCAGATGCCACCGGGCAG